GTGATAGGGAACCCAAGGTTGAGTAAGGATACTGTTGATGTGCTGTGAGGTTGTTGACCATTGTCATAGGGCAACATGTGTACTAATTGTTTAATGAGAAACTATTTTATTCTGTAAACCTTCATCTAAAGTGAGAATAGCAGCACAATTGGAGGAGCGCAGTCGATGTCACTGAATTCTGCGTGTAGAAATTTTTGAAATGGTGTATGTTTGGCTATGTGTATTTTCACCAAAATATACAGGAGAGGGTTGACATGTCATGAGGTTGTTAACCAATGTCATAAAACACTATGTGTACTACTGTTTCATGAGAAACTATTTGTTCTGTAAACCTTCACCTGAAGTACAATAAAAAAAAAAAAAGACAGAAATTATGGAAGTGAAAAAAAATCCTAAAGATTCCACAAAAAAACTATTAGAGCTAATAAACAAATTCAACAAAGTTGCAGGATACAAGAGCAACACACAAAATCAGTTGTACTTCTATACACTAGCAACGAATAATCTGAAAATAATGTTAAGAAAGCAATTTCATTTACAACAAGATTATAAGAATAAAATGCTTACGAATAAGCTCAACCGAAAAAGTTCATGCACTGAAAACTATAAAACACTGCTGAAAGAAATCAAAGAAGACCTAACCAAATGGAAAGACATTCTGTGTTCATGTATTGGAAGACATAATATTGTTAAGATGTCGATACCACCCAAAGTGATCTACAAATTCAATGCAATCTCTATCAAAACCCCTATGGCCTTTTTTATACAAATGGAAAAGCTAATCCTAAAATTCACATGAACTTGAAAGTTATTCTGAATAGCCAAAACAATCTTGCAAAGGGAAAACAAAATTAGAGGACTCATTTTCCTGATTTCAAAACTTACTACAAAGCTGCAGTAATCAAAACAGTGTGCTGCTGTATAAGACTATATAGACCAACAGAATAGGACTGAGATTCCAGAAATAAACCCATACATCTATGTTGTTGTTGTTGTTGTTAGGTGCCATCAAGTCAGTTCTGACTTATAGTCACCCTATGTACAATAGAACTAAACACCACCCAGTCCTGTGCCATCCTCACAATCACTGTTATGCTTGAACCCATTGTTGCAGTTACTGTGTCAATCTGTCTCACTGAGGATTTTCCTCTTTTTCACTGACCCTCTACTTTGCCAAGAATGATATCCTTCTCCAGGGACTTGTCCCTGCTGATAACATGTCCAAAGTACATTAGACAAAGTCTTGCCATCCTTGCTTCCAAGGAGCATCCCAGCTGTACTTCTTTCAAGACAGATTTGTTGCTCTTCTGGCAGTCCATGGTATATTCAATATTCTTTGCCAACGCTGTAATTCAAAGGTGTCAATTCTTCTTCGATCTTCCTTATTCATTGTCTAGCTTTCACATGCATATGAGATGATTGAAAATACCATTACTTGAGTCAGGTGCACCTTAGTCCTCAAAGGGACATCTTTGCTTTTTAACACTTTAAAGAGGTCTTTTGCAGCAGACTTGCCCAATGCAATATGTCATTTGATTTCTTGACTGCTGCTTCCATGTGCATTGTTTGTGGATTCAAGTAAAAAACATCTTCAGCTAATTGATTTTTCACAAGTGTGCCAAGACCATTAAATGAGAAAGAATAGTTTCTTCAACAAATGGTGGTAGGATAACTGAATTTCTACATGCAAAAAAAAAAAAATTAAATTGCACCCCTACTTCACAACCTATTCAAAAATTAACACAAAATGGATCAAAGACCTAAGTATATGAGCTAAAAGTATAAAATTCTTAGAAAAATAGAAATAAATCTTCATGACCTTGGATTTACTAATCAATTCTTAGCTATGAGACCAAAAGCACAAGTAACAAAAGAAAAAATAAACTGGACTTTATCAAATAAACACTTTGTGCATCAAAGGACTTTATCAAGAAAGTGAAAAGATAACCTACAGAATAAGAGAAAATATTTGCAAATCATATATCTGCTAAGGGTCTAGTATCCAGAACATATAAAGAACTCTTACAACTCAAAACAAACAACTCAATTTAAAAATGGATAAAGGATATGAGTAGATATTTCTTCAGAGAAAATACACAAATGGCCAACAAGTACATGAAAAGTGCTCACCATCACTGGTGTCATGGATTGAATTGTGTCCCCCAAAAATACGTGTCAACTCAGTTGGGCCATGATTCCCGGTATTGTGCAGTTGTCTTCCATTTTGTGATTGTAATTTTCCTACGTGTTGTAAATCCTAATCTCTGTCTGTGGTTAATGAGGGAAGATTAGATTATGTTAAAGAGAATTATGATGGGATTGTAACACCCTTACTAAGTTCACATCCCTGATCCCATGTAAAGGAAGTTTCCCTGGGGTGTGGCCTGCACCACCTTTTACTTTACAAGATATAACAGGTAAGCAAGCAGAGAGTTGGGGACCTCATACCACCAAGAAAGCAGTGCCAGGAGGAGAGCGTTTGAACCCGGGGTTCCTGTGAGGAGACACTCCTAGACCAAGGGAAGATTGATGACAAGGACCTTCCTCCAGAGCTGACAGAGAGAGAAAGACTTCTCCTGGAACTGACAACCTGAATTTGGACTTCTAGCCTACTGGACTGTGAGAGAATAAACTTTTGTTTGTTAACACCATCCACTTGTGGTATTTCTGTTATAGCAGCACTAGATGACTAAAACGATTAGTAATTAGGGAAATGCAAATTAACACCATAATGAGATATTGTTTCACACCTACTAGGGTGACTATAATTTTTTTTAAAAAAGGAAAATAAAAAGTGTTGTGAGGTTGTGGAGAAAGGAATATTCATACATTGCTCATGGGAATATAAAGTGGTGCAGCTGCTGTGGAAAAAATTTTGACATTTACTCAAAAAGTTAAATACAGAATTATCATAGGACCTAGCAATTCCACTCCTAGAAATATACCCAAAAGAATTAAATAAATTCAAACAAAACTTGTACATGAATGTTTATAGCAGCACTATTCACAATCAGTAAAGGGGGAAACAACCCAAATGATGAATGGATAAACAAAATGTGCCTTATCTATACAATGGAATATTATTCAGCCATAAAGAGAAATTTAGTACTGATACATGCTACAACATGAATGTACTTCGAAAACATTAAGTGAAATAAACCAGACACAAAAGGTCACATATTGTATGATGCCATTCATATGAAATATCCAGAAGAGGTAAGTATCTAGATACAGAAAGTAGATTAGTGGTTGCCAGGAGCTTCAAGGAGAGGAGAATGGGGAGTGACTACTTACGGGGTATGGAGTTTCCTTTTTGGGTCATGAAAACATTTTGGAACAGATACAGGTGGTGGTTGCGCAACACTGTGAATGTACTGAATGCCACTAAATTGCATACTTTAAAATGATCAATATTGTTATGTGAATTTTACCTCAATAAAAAAATATTTACAATAATCTAAAGATATTAGTTCTCCCCAAACCTAAATTGCATATAGGTTTAATGCAATTATAATGATGGAAATTTATAAATTGATTCTAGTATTTATATAGAAATACAAGGGGCTAAGAAAAACTATGCCGATCTTCAATCAGAAATAAAAGCAGGGGACTAAATTACATGAATTATCAACACTTATTATAAATGTACCATAATGAAGATAGTGTAGTTTATGTTCAAGAAGAAGCAAATAGATCAAACAACCAAAGACTACAGAAACAATCCCATGTAGATATGGAAATTTGATTTATAACAGAAGCGGCACTACAAAATAGTGGGGAAAACACAGTCACTTAACAAATGGTACAAGTCAATTGGACATTCGTATCAAAAATAAATGAAATTTGATACTCATATCTCAAACGATACATAAAAATCAATGCCAGTTGGATTGCAGATCTAAATATGAAAGGCAAAACAAAAAAGTTTCTAGGAAAAAAATGAGAAAATCTTTATGATCTTGGAGTAAAGCAATAAAGGAAAACAATTTTAATTGGATTACATTAAATTAAAAAGTTCTGTTCATTAAAGTCACCATGACAGAGAGAGAAGATAATCCTTGCAGCACGTATAATTGACAGGTGACTCATATATTAAACATACAAAGAACTCATACAAATCAACAATCAAAAGACGGAAAACAATATAAAAATGAGCAAGAGACTTGAATTGGAGTGTGTCTCATACACACACACAACAAACACACACACACTACATGTCCAAGTGAATATTAAACAAATGAAAAGGCACTCAATATTGTGAGTAATTAGAGAAATGCATATTGAAACACACCTGAAGAGATACACTCAGAGCAGACATACACGTTTTCCCTTGACTGTACCAAGTTAACCATATTAACTTCTTCCTATAGTGAATGCTGTAGTGTGCGGCTCAGATTCCCCTATTTTAGTCAATGCCCAGGTCCCTGGCCTCAGGGAGGGATAATCTGAAGGGCCATCCTAGTTCCAGAGCTTCCTATGGGAACTGATGGAGCTGGTTGTAACTGCCTTGCAGTTCAGCGTCTCCATCTGCCCAATCCTGCTTTCCTCATTCTCTTACAAGTGTTACTCCCAAGAAGACTCTCTAACAAACCTCCTGCCTCAAATCTCTGACTACAGGAAACCTGGCAAAAGACAAATCTGAGTTATTTAAAGTCCCACAGTGATAACTAGATAAGAAGGTACCAGCCAGCCAGTTACCCTCGAGTTGACTCTGACTATGGTGACCCCACGTGTGTCAGAGTAGAACTGTGCTCCATAGGACTTTCAATGGCTGATTTTCTGGAAGCAGATTGCTAGGCCTTTCTTCCGAGTCACCTCTTGGTGGACTTGAACCTCCAACCATTCGGTTAGCAGGACAGCTTGTTACTGTACCACCCAGGGACTCCCAATAAGAAGGAAGGAATTAACACTCATCATTATCAATTTATACTTGCATCACATTTTCATGATACCCTTTTCTGGCTTTGTAGGAGGAGAAAAGACCCTCTCCCCCAATCATTCTTCCATTTCAAACAAAACAAAAAAGCATGATTCTGCTTTTGGCTGATGCCCCTTGCTCTTGCCTGGTTCTCCCAAATCTATCATTTAAACACTTGCCTATTCCAGGTGTCTTCTCACAATATAGTTTGTACTCGTCACTCATCTTCTGTATGGCCATCTTTGGATTCTTACAGCAAAGTTCCTCAAAGGACATTTTTGTTACATCTGTCAAGTAGGGAAACACAGGGATAGGGTTTAGTTTGCCTGCTCTGGGTTCAAAGATTCATATACTCTTGTTGGAGGTTTGCCTCTAAAATGTTATTTAAATAAGACAATAGTGTTTTCATGAAGTATTTACGTAAGGAATACAAGTTTCCCAAACCAAATTAAAGGAGTCCTGGTGGCACAGAGGTTAAAGCCCTCAGCTGCTAACGAAAAGGTCAGCAGTTCAAGCTTACCAGCAGCACGGTGGGAGAAAGATGTGGCAGTCTGCTTCCGTAAAGATTTACAGCCATGGAAACCCTGTGGGGCAGTTGTACTCTGTCCTATAGGGTCGCTATGAGTTAGAATCGACTCCACAGCAATGAGTTTGGTTTTGTTTAGACCAAATTAGGAGCAAGGAAATACAGATTCTTTCCCCCTCAAGAATGGGAGGATTCTACCATTCTTAAAAACCTTACCCATGGAGGTTTTCTGCCTGAGAGATGTAAGGTATAACTGAGATGTGACTTTGAAATAGTTATGAATGTTTCACACATATACGAGAAGTAACTCATGCAAATGAACATCGACTCATTCGAAGCAGCCATCTGTTGTGGGTAGGAGTTGCAAATCCATTTCAAACATTCTTCTATTGCTTCAAAGAACTTGATGCATTTAGGGGTAATGCATGACAGATAGTGTGCATACTCGGTTCTTTCTTTGAGCTTTTCTTTCAGAACTGACAGCTCATATATTTGAATAGCATCAATAGTTGCTAGTCATTGTCCTTTGAAGGTGAATTATTTTTTTTAGAAATAGCCAAATGTCATTGCTAGGCATGTGTAGTGAATTCAAGGGAATACCTTTTTGTATCCACCATGAGGTGGGACAGTAAGACTGAGACTGCAAGAGAAGTTTTAACAAGGTTCTGGGCAATAGAAAACAGAATAACAGCATCTTGTCCGCTCCCAAAATGAAAACATTCATTTTAAGTCTAATTTGTCACAGTTCTCCTGGAACTCTCCAGGGCAGTCCAGTACTTTCTGAAGGCATACTGCTGGCGTCTAGAAGCACTACTGGTGTGTGGACCTACGAATGTCAGGCATTCTTATATCATTATTGTCATCAACATCATCATCATCAACATCATCATCATCATCATCTGTCAGCCAGGGTAATCTGGCTGTATGTGGAAAGAGCAGGGGGTCGTTTCTGTAGTAGATCTGGGCTTGGACAAGCCTTTTGACCTCTCCATATGAATGATGAAAGTATTCTAGCTCTGGCGCTCCGTGAGTTCAAGTGCAGCCTGAAGGGGAGGCATCAGCCTATCTGTGAGCCAGGACCCTGCTTGGGCAAATGCACAGGAGGCCCCTTCACCGGGCCAGACTTGTTATCAGGAGGGATCAGTCCCTGGAGAAGGAAATCATGTTTGGTAAAGTAGAGGGTTGTTGAAACAAAGACCCTTAACGAGATGGATTGACACAGTTGCTGCAACAATGGGCTCAAGCATAACAATGATTATTAGGATGGCACAGGACCAGGCAGTGTTTCGTTCTACTGTATGTACATAGGGTCGCTATGAGTCGGAACCTACTCAACGGCACCTAACAACAATAACATGAAGCAATTGAAAATACCATGGCTTGGGTTAGGCACACCTTAGTCCTCACGTGTTTGCTTTTTAACACTTTAAAGAGGTCTTTTGCAGCAGGTTTACTCAATGCAATGTCATTTGATTTCTTGACTGCTGCTTCTGTGGGTGTTCACTGTGGATTCAAGTAAAATGAAATCCTTGACAATTTCAATCTTTTCTCCATTTACCATGATGTTGCTTATCGGTCCAGTTGTGAGGATTTTGGTTTTCTTTATGTTGAAGTGTAATCCATACTGAAGGCTGTGGTCTTTGATCTTCATCAGTAAGTGCTTCAAGTCTTCTTCACTTTCAGCAAGCAAGGTTGTGTCATCTGCATATCACGGGTTATTAATGAGTCTTCCACCAGTCTTGATGCTGTGTTCTTCTTCATATAGTCCAGCTTCATGGATTATTTACGCAGCATACAGATTAATAAGTATGGTGAAAGGATACAACCCTGACGCACACCGTTCCTGACTTTAAACCACGCAGGATCCCCTTGTTCTGTTTGAACAAGTACCTCCTGGTCTAGGTACAGGATTGGTGCATCAGTTACTAAGCCCTAAAATGGATATAATAATTGGAATCGACTTGATGGCACCTAACAACAACAATAGTACTTAACCTCACAGGTTTCTTTGAAGATCAAATGAGGTAACCCTTGCATTGCACAGTGATGACATACAGCAAATAATCACTAAATGCTAAATATTAATATATCTCAGTTGCTTATAAGTAAAGTCAAAAAAATTAGAGTGCTTGCCCTTACCTGTCAGAAACACTGGAGATGTCAGTTCTACCTGGAGAGACCCGCCTTGTCTCAGGTTCTCAGTAACTATCTTTTGCCACTGAAGAGAATCCATTTCCTCCATGTTAGCCAAACCCTGGCTTAACTCCAGAGATTGCTGAACCCTCTTACAAAGAAGGATGTTCTCTTCTTTGCTCATAGTGTCTCCTTTTTTATGCCCCTTGACATTGTGGAACCTGTTCTGAGTCTAAGAAAAGGAGGTGAGGACAAGAGGCAAACAGCATTTGCTACAGCAACTAGACCAGAAGTAAGGTTTTTGTAATAGCCCAGTCCTTCCATGTTTCCCTGTCACGCAGACTTATGCTGAATTGTTTTCAATTTATTAAGAGTCATTGCTCCTTTACACACTGTTATGGATTGAATTATGTCCCCTCCAAAATATGTGTTGTAAATCTTAACCTCTATACTTGTGGTTATAATCCCATTTGGGAATGGGTTGTCTTTGTTATGTTAATGAGGTTGGATTAGTGTAGGGTGTATTTTGAGTTAATCTCTTTTGAGATATAAAAGAGATTAAGCAAGCAGATTAAAGAAGCAGAGATGGGGGAGAGAGATGCCAAGCCACATTAAGATCGCCCAGGAGCAGAAGCTCAGAAGAGACAAGGATCTTCCTTCAGAGTCAACAGAGAAAGCTTTCCCCCTAGAGCCGGCACCCTGAATTCAGACTTCTAGCCTTCTAAACTTTTGGGAAATAAATTTCTGTTCATTAGAGACACCCGCTGGTGGTATTTCTGTTACAGCACCACTAGATAACTAAGACACACAATCAACTTTCTCCCTCCTCTAATCAAACCCATTTTCTACAAATGAGAAATCCCATATGAAGTCAAAGTCAGCTTATGCACTTGCGTTTTTTCCCTAGAGAGGTTTATTTTAAACCAGTTGCTATTGAGTTGACTTTGACTCATGGCAACCACATGTGTGTCCAAACAGAACTGTGCTCCATTGGGTTTTCATGGCTGATTTTTCAGAAGTAGATCACTAGGCCTTTCTTCCAAAGCAACTCTGGGTGAACTCGAACTTCCAACCTTTTGGTTAGCAGCCGAGCACATTAACCATTTGCACTACCCACGGGCTCCTTTAGAACATTAAGAACCACCTTAAGCCTCAACTAACTCTACGACAAAGAAAAGGTTCGTTTACTTCAACAAATGAGGCTGCTAAGAGCAGTTACTCTTTTTCTCCCCTCAACTGCATGATTTCTCCCCAAACCAAAGTTTCTCCTACTGTAAAAATGAGAAACCAGTAATCCTCTTCTTCCAGGAATTCATCATACCAGGGACTGAGCATCTGAAACCAAACACAGCATAAGCGTTAGGAGGTGGGCGCTCAGCCTGCTGCCTCTCTCCTCTGTGCTGACCTGGGAACAGGGGCAGCTGTAGTGTCTGGACTCTGATTTGGAGACACAGTGGGGAGCATCAGTCCTCAACAACCTGGAGGCACTCCTTTCCCTCTCTGAATATGGCAGCCCATGCAACGCCACTCTGAGTCCCAGAAAGTAGTAATCAATATTTACTTAAGAAGAATGTATAACACATGATTTACTCAAGGACAATTACTTGACATATGCTTAGTGCTTTGTTCTTTCCCAAATCATAATCTCATCTGATGCTCAGAACTTCTCTGCAAACCAAGTTTCTCCTTTTGGTGTATCTACTCTTGTACCTTCAACTTGAAGACCTTACCCATTTGTGAAAAACATTTTGTTAGAGTAAAACAAACAACAAATAAAACATCCTGCGAGTCAGTGCTTAGCTAGATTTATTTATCTGCACTCTCACTTTCATTCATTTATTTATTTGACAATTATTTTCTGAGTGCCTCCATATTCCAAGCACTGTGCAAATGGCAGGAAATGTAGAGATCAATATACCGTAAGCCTTGCTCTTAAGGAGCTCATCTTCAGTGTGATGAACTTAGATGTGACACACACTATGACAGGAGTATGAAAAAGTTGACTGGGAGCGGAAAGGAGGGAGAAATTCATTATTTCTGCTTGAGTCAGGGAGATCCAGGAAGAATTCATAAAGGCAAGGAGATTAAAACTAGAATTTGGACCTTGCAGGGTAAGTGGAGAGTGAATGAACAGATGAATGAAAATCGGAAGTCTTACAGAGTCACTCATCTCAAACCAGACAAGGTGGTCCTGGGACAAGACCAAAAGAGCAATCATTTCCAGCTGGGATTGATTCATTGATTCACTCATTCAACAAGTGTCTGTTGAGCCAGGCAGTGTTCTAGATGCTGGGCAGACAGTAGTGACAAAACAGACAAAAGCCCCTGTCCTGCTAGGGAGAAAGAAAATAAATATCTTAAGTAAGTTTAAAAAAATGTGTGTGTATGTAAAGATATATACATATTTATAAAGATATATACATATTATGTATCTATCAGAAATATAATACAAATATATTACATGTATATATAATAGATGTTTATTATATGCACATATGCATATATGTACATTGGAAGAATTGTACATGCAATAGCTAGATAGACAGACAAATGGATAGATAGATAAAGTGCTAAGGAAAAAAAAAATGGAGATAGAGTTGAAATTTTATATAAAGTGACCAAGGAAAGTCTCACAGAGAAGATGACTTGAGGAAGCGAGAGACTAAGCTGTACAGGTATCTACCTGCACCTTACAGGCATCAGAAGCAGCATGGCTGAGCTGGTCATATGCCCGGCACGGTGGAGTAGAGAGCACAAGGGGGAACGGAATGAAGAAGCGGAGCACAGAGCGGTGGTGGGTGGGGGAGGTCTTGTCACTGTTACTCTCAAGTGAGACAGAAAGCCATCTGCTTTCAAGCCTCACTCACTTCCTTTTACCTAATTTTAGTTAAATTACACTAACTATATTTTGATAGAATCTTGGTGTGGAAACAAGCCTGTTCGGGGCAAGGCAGATGCAGGGGCATGAGTTAGGAGGCCACTGCAGTAATCCAGGCCAGAGAGGATGGGGCTGACATTACAGTGGTTGTGACAGATGAGATAAGAATTGGAGAAGTGGTGAGATTATGGATGTAGTTTTAAGGTCAAGGCAATAGGATATAGATGTGGATGTGAAACAAAGAAGTGAGGCAAGGATATCAAGATTTTTCAGTTGGAGAAACTATGATAGGCCAGTCTTAACCACATACAAATACTTTCAATATCTTTTCGAAGACCAGGCCCCAGGCAGGGGGCTTTGCTGTGGGGATATTCTGATCCAAGAAGCACGACCCTAGTCTGAACCTAGTCTGAGCCTCTAAGCCCCAAATGAATCAAGAAAGTTCAGGGAGGCCTCTGGGCTTTCTTTAATCAAGCGTTGTGCAAAGGAAAGCTTTGGCTGTGGGTCCAATTGACTGGTGCAGTGTGAAACTCCCGGGATGTTCAACGTTGGATAATTATGGTTTATTGGAAATCATGCTGGATTTAGAGCCCAAAACTTCTGGGTTCTGACCCTTGTTCCTCTACTTGCCAGCTGTGCGTCTTTGGCTAATTCACTTAGTGTCTGAGTCTCATATTCCTTATCTGTACAACAGAGGCAACAATACTACCCTGCCTGCCCCACAGAGGTGCTAAGAGGCGTAAAGAAGATAATGTGTGTGAATGCGATTTATAAGGTAAATACATTATAAGGCACTAAGTAATTTGCTCACTATGTTTGCCCCTGAAGATCTATCTACTCTCTACTCTCCTTGTGCCTTGGGAGATTAACCTGTATGGACCATATCAATGGTTTCCCTTGTCATCGGGTTGGGTTCATCCAATGAAGAGGACCTGATAGCAGATGGGAAAACAGGAGGAGAGTGAGGCTAGCATATCTACTCCCCCTGCTCTCTCCTTCCAGATCACTGTGGATTGGCTATCTCTACTGAAGACTACAGCTCCTGTAAGATGCCCCACTTCTTACTTATTCCAGTTCTTACTAGTCTAAGAACTGTCCCACAGTTCTTTCTCTCCTGCTTCTGGTAACTGCTCCCTCTCCTCAACTCTTCAAGCCTGGGAATAATAAAGGGGCCCCACTCTTACCAGCACTATCCCCTGTGGTTTCCCTACACCTTTCTCATTCCTTTTTATATAGTCCCTTTTATTCAGCTTCCATCTGTTACCCAACTTGATTCTGCTAAGTGTTTTCTGCCAAATATCGTGACAAAACGATTCATCCATCCAGCCATTGCCGACTCATAGCGACGCTATAGGACAGAGTAGAACTGCCCCATAGGGTATCCAAGGAATGACTAGTGGATCTGAACTGCTGACCTTTTGGTTATCAGCCTGAGCTCTTAACCACTTCGCCACCAGTGCTCCCCTTATAAAATAGTCACCCATTATTATTCAGTGCTATGGGTCTCACTTCCTGTGAGTCTTCAGGATATTCTAATATTTTGAGATAAAAATAAACCACTTCTAATAGGCCATTTCCTTGATGGCTAGTCAAGGAAAGGCAGACGCTGAATTTCAACGCATAATGCTTAGAAAGAGTTTTTAAAATTTCCCTCAATAGAACAATCTGAGGTTCATAGTTTTGGGAGATTCCATGTAAGAAGAAAGTGGAAAAGGAATAGAAAGTGGATATTGACTACCTCTCCCTCCCCAAATTCATTCTATTTTGGAGTTTCAGCTAGTTCTCGGGAATTTGCATGGCTTGTTCCTAAGAGATCAACCAACTCTTCCATTAATGAAGGGTTATGTGGGTAATTCTATAGTTAATTTTGCCAGTGTAGGTGACCAGACAGAATTTTTGGTCAGTCTTGACCTAATCTGCAAGATACTAACCCATTACTATGAAGCGTGGCCTACCTTGCAGATCTCTTTCTGGGCTCTGGGAATCCAGGGGTTCACATCTCCCAAAGGCAGCAGCTTCTTCAGGCCTTGAATGGTTTGGGATTTCAGTGGTACACATGGACCAATTTGCTCATTTAGGTAGAGCTCGCAGATTCTGTGGCCCAGCATGTGCTGAAAGACAGCATTCCCACTCTTCCTGTTAGTCATCAGGACATTGAGGAAATGGTGCAAGTCCTGCCAGAGGTCTAGGAGTTGGGTCTCCACTTTCAAATTCTGTTTCTTCAGGTGGTCCCGGAAGGGACTCCCTGCATAGGCGTCAGCACATAAGGCCCAGTGGGTGTACCCCACGGAGAGGCTTTGCTTGATAGCCTTCTTCAGTTTTATCTGGGAGAAGTGATTGATAATGGGGGTAACTGTCCTCAGGTGGGTCAAGAACTTCATCTCAAAGAGGCCCTCCATGTGGAAGTGACTCTTGGCTTTCTTATTTGTGCAGGACCTCTTGGTACAAACATTCTCTTCCAAGGAACTAATCATTTTCTCCTTTGAATGGGCCACACGCCGGGAAGGCATTTGCATAACCACCTTCTCCCAAGGACGCGTCTCTTGTCGAGGCATAGCGATGGTGTCTTGTTCAGGGGGAATGGACGGCAGCTCCATTTCCAGAGACCAGGAGCCATGGTCTATCAACTGCCACATCTTCCTCTTGCTCTTCCTGCTTGAGTAATGCTTTGGGGGGTAGTGGCACTTCTTGATGCTCATGTTCAGAGGAAGCCCTCCCACGTGGGTGTAGCAAACACTGCAAAGACGAGTCTCATATTCTTGCATCAGACCCTGGCACTCTTCCTCCTTGGCCATGTTCATTTTGGCATGGGTGTAAAAGTTGGGGAGACAGTAGCTCTGGAGTTTGAACAGAGCCACTTTCTGCATGTGGCTCAGTATCTCTCTCCTGGTGGTTGACTGCGTTGGATGCCAGATGGAGAGGTTTAGGAGGGACTCTGAAAATAAAGCAGAGAGAAGGATGAAAATGATGCAGTGATGGTGATGATATTGGAGAGGTTTTGGATTTTCCCAAATGTTTTTGTACAAAGCATTTCATTAGTTATCCACACAGTTTTAGAATGCGGAAGTAATAGACACTTTTTTTTTGCCCAGTACACAGTTGCCCCTTTTTCTGATTACCTTCTTTCTTCCTCATAAAAATAAGCCATTTTACGGGATTCCTGAAGTTATTTTTTAGGCTATTGGTTGTCATTGTAAAGAAAAGCAAAATGCACAAGAAAAAAATGTTTAAGAACAAGAGTCATGCACCGATGAATAGAATTCCTCAGGGTCAGATCTGACTGGAGGAGGGGGTTTGGACTGGATAATGTGAAGGAACTTACTACTCCTGATCTTAATGTCATCAATTCTCAATTACCTACATGAATAGAGAAAAGCAGAAGATCTTCTGCAACACATTTGTATTTGGGTTAAAAATCCCTTCTCACTAAGTAAATTTAAATTTGGATAAACCTAATGTTCTAGATCAGGGTTGTCAAAATTTTATTATGTAAAGCACCAGATAGTAAATATTTTAAGCTTTGCAAGCCACATACAGTATCTGTTGCAGTTTTTTTTTAAGGAAAAAAAAAAAACCTTTAAAAATGTAAAAACCATTTTTAGCTCACCAGCTACATGAACTTCATTTGGCCCATGGTCTGTAGATTGTTCTAAAAAATTTCAATTTAAAAACATGGCAGAGCTATGCAGGTTCAGAAGATGCAGGGAGCTGTTCAGCTATCCTCTCCTAATTCCTCTTTACTCCTTCCAGCCTGCCTGCACTGACTGATGACATCTCAGGAAGAGGCGAGCACCAGGCTAAGTGCAGCTATTCTCTCTCAAACCTTCACTGGCTATGGGTTCTCATTGGCTTCCCTGATACATAGAAGATAGAGAGGGCAACAAGTCTGCAAAGCAAGGTACTGAAGGTTATCAGTTGCTGGTTTGACTGTTTTGCTACATCCCCCAAGGATTTCACTTCAGATACGCTTTAGAATTCTTACTGATGTTCATGTTGCATAGAGTCACCACCTTGGAGCCCTCCTGCAGATGAGTGGCCTTCAGCATGAGGAGGAGGGACAGGTAGTGGTCTCTCAGTTCCAGGTCCATCTCATCGATGCTCAAGATCTTCTCGGCAAGGATCCAGAAATCCACCAGCTCTTCACCTATAGATCAGACAGAGGAGGCTCAGAGCTGCACCCGAGTCTTGCTCCTTTGGTACTTGCATCTGGGTGGAGCAGCTGATATCCCCCACCAGCCTGCTCTACTGCCTCCGACATCACCATTAGTCACTTTGCGTTAAAACAGCGTCTCCAGAAAAGCCCTAATGCAGGGTGGGAGTAGGGGGGATTGGCGGGAAAGAATGGGACCGAGACTTAATGGATAGGGATCCTTTGTGATTTTTTTGCTGTTAGAAGAACTGTCACTTTAGGAAAAACTGCAAGATGCTGACGACTGATCATGAGACATTTAAGTTCTGTCCAAAAAATGAAGATCAGGGGAAAGAAAACATTTCCCAGATCATGGACCCAGAGCAGCTTGTAGAAAGGCACTGGAGCCTAAAGTTGCCAAAGTCTGCATTCCCTATTTCTCAACTTTGCATGGCCAACTCTGAATGGCAAACCTATAGATACAATCTGTCTAGTTCTTCTCTTCCTGCTCCTTGGAGACCTAGGATTTCACCCTTAAACTAGGGTTTATCCCTGGATGAAGCTTCAGGTTGCTAAACTGGAGCATTAGCCTGTGCTGGCTGCCAGCCTCCCAGCAACCATGTTCCATCCACTCATTCAATAGAACAGGCAGCAAATGGTTGCCCCTAATGCCTTCCAACACTTTCACAACAGAAATTGATCTATATACTTGCTCCTTGTCTGTCTCCCCATGAGAGCGGCAGCTTAACGAAGCAGGGACTTGCTGCACTTGTTCACCTCTGTATCCCCAGCTATCAGCACAGTGTCTGCCACATATGGTGCTCAGCTTTCAAAGATTTTTATCCAACCTGCTTTACTGAGCATTTTTTATATTCACTATAAAAACCAGTTGCCATTGAGTCGATTCCGACTCATGGTGACCACATGTGTGTCAGAGAACTGTGCCCCAAAGGGTTTTCAGTGGCTGATTTTTTGGAAGTAGATCGCCAAGCCTTTCTTCTAAGGTACGTCTGGGTGGACTCAAACCTCCAATCTTTTAGGTTAGCAGCTGAGTGCACAAATTGTTTGCACCACCCAGGGACTCCACAGTCACTAAGGATACATAGATCTGCCAGTCAGGGTCTGGGGCATCCTAGAAACTGTTAAGAATGTACGAAGGCCCCAGGGACAACTCTGAGAACTCACCTGCACTGCCCTTGAGGTAGGCACAGAAGCGCCTCATCCCTCTGACCCCGCCAATGCATTTCTGGAGTAGCCACTGGTCTGCCTTTCTCCATCTCATCATCTTGGCTGCCAAGAAAAGTCCACAGTAAGAGAGGGAGAATGAGCTCTTTTGCTGGTTTGCTCTCTCAGCCTTGCACCCAGCCAGCCCTCATTTGCTCCGTGTGAGTAGGAAAAAGGGCTACTGGTTAGGTGAGCTGGGTCCTGATTACGTGTTGGTTTTGAGGCTAGGCACCAGGCCCTCTGCCACGATGTCAGGTGACATGCAAAGAGCCGACAAGCGTGCATACAATCCATAGCCCAAAAGCACCCTCCAACCAAGGACCTCTCCCTTCTACAGTCCCCATTGGACAGCATTTTTGCCCTTTGCATGCATTTAACTCAATTTTCCCAATACATATATGGAAGGAGGGAGTTGAGTGATTTGTTATAACATTTTACTCCATGGAGGTTCCTGAATCTTAACTTTGCCTGGGGTGGAACATACTTAGTTTCCTTTGTGTAATTGAGCTGTTAGTCAGGTTACCAATTTAACCCTGGATAGAAATTGTATTCATGTATTCTTTCACAAATATATGCCTTCTAAGAGCCAGGTACTATTCTAGGTGCTTGGGATACAACAGCAAACAGAACAAAAATCCCTGCCCTCAAGGAGTTTACATTCTAGCAAAAGAGACAAAAAACAGTAAGCATAATAAATAAGTACATAATGTAGTAAATGTAAAAATTATAAGTGTTACAGAAAGGAAGAAAAAGTAGAACAGGTAAAAGGGATTGGAAGTGCTAGGGGCAGGGGTTGGGTGAGTGGGCAGGATATAGTATTAAATGGGGTCATGAAGGTAGACTTTATTGAGAAGTTGCAATTTGAACAAAGATTTGAGGAGGTGAAAGAGGTAGCCATATGGACATCTAGAGAAAAGCATTCCAGGCAGAGGAAACAGCCAGTGCAAAGTCCTGAGGTGGGAATGTGTCCTGCGTGTTTGAGTAACAGCAAGGAGGCCATCATGTGTCTGGATGGAGTGAGCAATGGGCAGAGTAGGAAGAGACAAGGTCAAAGAGGAAATGGGGCCAGGTCTCTAGGCACTTGAAGACCATTGTAGTAGCACTGAGTTTCACTCTGAGACAGGAATCATTGGGTGGAGGATTGAGCACAGGAGTGACATAATCTGATTTATGGTTTTGAAGGCTCATTCTGGCTGCTGTGAGCAGGAGAACAGGAGTAGAAGCAGAGAGACTAATTAAGAGACAATTCCAGTACTTGGGTAAAAAATGATGGTGGCTCAGACCAGGATGGTAGCAGTGAAGGTGGTGAGATTTGTCCACTTCTGGATATATTTTAGGCAATTTTACCGTGTCCTGTGACCACCAATAATTCCCTCATTTCTGGTTGCAGTGAGACAAATAGCCCAGCCCGTTTGACTCCTGTTTATTGCTCTAAAAACCAGTTGCCGTGGAGTCAGGTCTGACTCATGGTGACCCCATGTGTATCAGAGTAGAACTGTGCTCCATAGGCTTTTCAATGACTGATTTTTGTGGAAGTAGATTGCCAGCCCTTTCTTCTGAGGCACCTCCGGGTGGACTTGAACCTCCAACCTTTCGGTTAGCATCTGAGCATGTTAACCATTTGCACCACCCAGTGACTCCATTTGTTGCTGTTGGTACTCATTTTTTGGAGTCTCTGGGTGGTGCAAACATTTAAGCGTTCAACTAATAGTCAAAAGATTGGTGGTTTGAACCCACCAAAGGGTACCTTGGAAGACAGTCCTAGTAATCTGCTTCCAAAAGATCACAGCCTTGAAAATCCTATGGAGCAGCTCTACTCTGTACACATGGGGTTGCCATGAGTTGGAATCAATTTGATGGCAACTAACAACAACAAGCCATTTTTCAGCCTAAGATTTCACTTGTTTCCATTACACGGGCTGCATTACCAGCATGTCTAAGACTGCAAAGGCAGCCAGTATTTGTTCTTAACGAAGGACTGACAGGGACAGGGATTGTTATGCAGCAGGATTCCCATGCTCCCCTCTCCCCACACACACCCCCATGCTTACCTCCTTCTGGGGACTTAATGAAGCTGATGAGCTCCTGACAGAGAATGTACTGGAAACACAAATTGGTTTTACAGAAGAAAGGTAGCCTGTATTTTTCCAACCAGGTCAATAATCCTTTGTACTTGGCAGTCTAGAGTCCAAACAGAATAGGAACAGAAAAGAGAAATGGAGCTACTAAGAAATGCAACTTAGAACGGAGCAATTAACAACCTCACACTCACAGTCTGTGGCCTGAAGGGAAAGGAGTAGTGATTAAAAATCAAATCTAAGAAGAGCAGAGACCTGGGTTGAGGCTCCCAAATGGAGGCTACCAAATGGATTGGTAGGAAAGAAAAAAGTTTAAGCTCTTGGTCTTTCATCAGAAATCTTCCTTATTCCTTAAAATGACCTAAGACTGGTTGACAGAGAAGTAGAAGAGATTTGGGTCTGTGGTGTCAGGTAAAAAACCCTATTGAACCAGCTTGTTAGTAAAGAAATATCATTTCCATAAGCCCCTAAACCAAAACCCACTGCCGTAGAGTCGATTCCGACTCATAGCAACTCTGTAGGACAGGGTAGAATAGCCCGGTAGAGTTTCCAAGGAGCAGCTGATGGATTCAAACCGCCGACTGTTTGGTTAGCAGCCGTAGCTCTTAACCACTGCGCTACTGAGGCTTCATAACCCATATAAAGTGCATGCTGTGTAAAAAACCACACAAAAGCTCACAATAGCATCTTTTGGAGTATGGGATGGATCCCTGAGGGCTTGAGCCACCAGAGAAGAGAAAAAAAAAATTTTTTTAAGGTTCAGGGATCACTTAGGGAAACCAAAGATAATAATCAGAGTGGGAGAAGAACAAAGCTTGCTGTGAGCAGGGCCTAGAGCAATTTTTCTTGTCCCATGTGCCACCAGTAGTGCATATGGAAGCCACTGGTAGGGTGTAAGACCTACATAATAGAAAGGAGAACAGAAGGGAAAAAAAGGAGAAGAGAAAGACTATAGACAAGGAAAAGGAAAAAGGTATAAAAAGAAAAAAAAAAAAGACTGGGAAAAAGATGAGATTCTGGAGGATAACTGTGGAGTAGCCATTACTAAATGCAATAAATTACCTTGATCTATTCCTTACAAGGCAAATGATAAATCTGTGGCACTTGGGCTGCCACTTCCTAGCCCACACCCATGGCAGACATTGCCAATCAATTACCAGACTCTTTCTTGCTGAGCTTAGATGTAGTCTCAAAATTCTTCTCAACATAATGCTTCAAACATCTACTACCCAACAATTATAGTGGATCTGAGAGACAAATCCCTTTTGTTAACAATAGACTAGAATATAAAGGAAAAAATTCATCAGCAATTGCTTTCCCAAGAGGTAAAAACATAAAAAAGGAGAAATTTCCACCTGGGAGTGACATTATTCTTCTCACCTGCTTTCTTCCAGAATCACCCTCCAAGCCCCGTCTTCCTCGCCTTCTCCCAAACCACATTTGAAATTTTAGCTCCATCTTACCCCTCCCAAGCCCTCCACCATTCAAGACTCTCACTCACCAAGTCATATGGTATTTCTGGCCACAAGCTCCACTGCGAATTTTCAACAGTGTAAAATGGCATTTGACCAAAGACCTGCAAAAGAAAGCTAGGAAACAGCTAAGAGGGCAGAGCTTTCTTCTTATATATGACACAGTCCATCTGTAGCCACAGGATAAGAGAGATACCATTGCTTCCCTATTTCAAGGGACCTGAATTTTTAAATATAGTTCACTGCATCAACTTGTCTTGCACAGAAACACCCAAGTAAACTAAATTGCAAAATTCACTTATTTTTTTATCTCCCCCAACCTGGAAACTACCTTGCCTCTGTGCAAAGGCCAAAGCCCATGATATTGAAACTCATTTGCTTTGTGCATTTTTTAAATTATTATTTATTGTGCTTTAGGTGAAAGTTTACAGTGCAGATTAATTTTGTATATTGTTTTATTTACTTTCTCCATAGACTTGGAGGGTTAAAGCAAGAATATAAGACCTTTTCCTAACAAGCGACAGGTTTGGATTTGCATAAACTCTTGAACTAGAGAAAGTAGAGAAGATTGGCAATATGAAAATTATGGGTCCAAATCACTTATACGGGCATTACCAAACCAAACCTGTTGCCGTCGAGACTGTCCAGAATCTGATGGGCAATTCCCGGCTATTGTCCTCTTCTGTCATGGAGAAGGGACTATTGTCTAGGCAACCAGCTTTGAGAATAATGGGAAAGAGCTTCTAGGTTTGTAGGTGTCTAAGCTTAGCAGTCTCAGCATAGACACTGAAATGCCTCAGAATTCTCCAGAAGTATTGGTGATAAACTAGGAGGGCTGAAACCCCATCTTCTGACTAAGATCCCATCCTGTCATGTCTGTCAGTCTGACCATCTCCCCAAGACTGACAGCTCCAAACGTTTGTCCATCTGTGGTCCCCCACTCTCTCTCTCTCCTTTGTCCTGGCTGTGAAGTATGGAAAGAAGGTGAGGGTGCTGCCTGCATTTTACAAATAGAAGCCAATAAAGGAGATTCAGTCCTGAGTGATCCCTCTCTGCTCTGCCCTCGGTGTTTGACACAGCATGTCCCACCTGGTCTATTAAGTGACCACTCAGGGGGATGTGGTAGGACTGTGATGTGGTAAGATTATGAAGGATGGTGTGTGGAATCAGTTTTACTCCATAAAAGTGGCAGCATAGGGAGCACGGGGTTGATGTGGAGAGCATACCAGGCCTGGAGCCAGGAGGTCTAGTTAGCTCCAGGACTACCCCGATTCACTGTGTGATCTCATGCAAGGCATTAACTTCTGAGCTCCACCTGTAAAAAGGGAGTAATGCCTACCACACAGGGTGATGGTGGGAATTAAATGGTTGCAGTCTATAAATTGATAGCAGCATTTAATGTGAAATACTACTCTCTCTCTCTCAAAAACCAAACCCATTGCTGTGGAATTGATTCCAACTTATGGAGACCCCATGTGTTACGTAGTAGAACTGCTCCATAGGGTTTTCTTGGCTGTAATCTTTATGGAAGCAGATTGTCAGGCCTTTCTTCCATGATGCTGCTGGATGGATTCAAACCACCAACTTTAGGTTAGTAGTCAAGTGTAAACCATTTATTCCACCCAGGGAACTCTTAAAAGACCACAGACTGTCTTATACTCTGGCTAGAATTCTACCTCCCACATCACTCTTCCTGTTTCTAGAATATTTAAATTGTGCTGATGAATTGACTAAAATTTCTCAATATTACTTCTAATACCTTTCATTAAGACAGTAGCAAAAGCCATAATATGAGTAAGGATCACTCAAAAGAAATGCTATTAATCAGCGCTGTCTCCCTTCCTTTTTTATCTTGGTAGCTGGCAACACATCTACCCAAGCACCCAAGTCTGTACCTTTCACTTCTTCCTTTCCGTCAGTACCTCTCCTTCACCTTCAAATAGTGACAAGATCTTATAGTTTACTTCGTTAAAAATGGTGCCTGGCTACCATTACTGAATGTTTTGATCAAAGAGTCTATAGAAAAATCCTAATCAAAACGGGGAAAATGCAGAACAGATTTCCAATTCTCATGGAATCTAGATTTTCTGGAGCCGTCGAGACTGGATGAGCCCCTGAAAATATGGCCCTGAGATAATCTTTAAACCCTGAGCCAGAAATATCCCCTGAAGTCTTCTTTAAACCAAACAATAGTTTAGCTTAACTAGTAAAGAATGCTTGCCTTGAGCATTGTGTTCTTTTAAGATCTGTATGGGATCAAATTGACAATAGCAACCAGAAAGATTAGATAGGAAACTTAGTGGGCAGTGAGCTTATATTAATGGGGAAGGAACTATTTGGAAAAGGAGAGTGAGAATGGTTGCACAACTTGAAGAATGTAATCAGCTTTACTGAATTATACATGTAGAAATCGTTGAATTGCTGTATATTCTGCTGTCTATATTCTCAACAACAATAACATAAGTAAATTTTAAAAAATCTGTTTTTCCCATTCTCTTCATCCTTTTCCCTCTAGACCTTCATCATTTCTCACCTAAACTATTGCAACAGTCTCCTAACTGGTCTGCCTGCCTCTACATGGCCCCCTTCCACCCCAACCCATTTGCCAAAGCTCTACAGAAATAACCTTTTGCAAATGAAAAGTCTGACCATGGTATTCCTTTACTTAAAACCGTTCAGTGGCTCTCTGTCATCTACAGGATGATGTCCAAACTCCTAAGCACAGCCTAACTGTTCCCTAAGGCCTGGTTCATCCTGCTTGTGCAGCCTGGTATCTTGCTGTGTCTTCCTCTCACAACTTCTTCTTCGGCTGTTGACTGAGTCACCTAGTTTCCACCAGTGTGCCATAGGATGGTATTTCCCGGTGCCTTTAGTTACTCTGTTCTGTCTGTCTGGAAGGCCTACCTAACCCCCAGACATTTCCTCTTACTTCCTTCTACTTTACCCATCATTCCTTCCCCCCTCTCATCCCTAGCCAATTGTCAAATACTCTGAAGACTTGGCTCATGTGCCCTGGTTAATGAAGCCTTTCCTGACTCTTCCAATTAGGTGTGGCCTCTTCCCTCTGTGTACTTGGATTCCCACTGCCTCCTGGAGACTTCTATCATGTCACCCTTTTTACAGTCACCATAAATACCAGTCTTTCACATTAGACTGGGAATTCTTTGAAGACAGGGATTGTATCATTACTATATGCATCCCAAAGACTAGGCACAGTGCTTTGTACAAAGTCAGTGCCCAATAAATGTTTGTGGGTTGAGGCATCATCTGACACCAATATAGGGAGCGAAGGCAAGCAGCTGAGTGTTTTTCACCATTTGTGTAAAATTTTACCTTTTAACAAGTAGCACACTCAGGAGAAAGGGCGCTCTGAGATGAGCCACAAGTTACAAGACACCAACTAAAAAGTAACCAAAGTTTTAAACCAGAAAACATACAGTAATAGTCTAGATTTGTTTTAAGAATAGTTTGATGTTTGAGGTTTGTTTTAGTTGCATAGATTAAGAACATATATAGGTTTGGTTCTAGTCAGCAACTGCTATGTGCCAGACACCTGGTGAGGGGAATAGAGCAGAATAAATAATACACGTCCTTGTTCTGCAGGAATTCACAGTCTCACAATCGAGTGGGGAAGACATCACACACACACACACACACACACACACACACACACACACCCCACATATGCACACTCCACAAGAGAGATGCAAAGTGCCGTGGGGCATGAAAGCAGGGAGAAATCAATTCTGATTGGGAGGACCTAGGAATTCCTTAAGGAGAATAGGATTTAATCAGAGATACGAAGAAAGGTAAGACTTTGATAGGTGGAACTATAAGGAGGGCATTAAGGGCAGAGAAAAACAGCCTGAGGAGAAGTGAAGAGGTGAGTAAATGCCAGGTATGCTCAGCGAGGGTACAGGTATCATTGCTAGAGCACTGGGTACCAGCAGAGCATGTGACGGGAAATACCTTTGGACAGATAAAGACAGTCAAGGAGGCAGGAAATTTGGGATCTGATTATATCAATAATGGGAAGCTTGTGGACATTTTAAAGGAAAATATGGGTCATGTTTATTTGCTCAAATTGATTGAAATAGTTTTGATTTGGTAACAAGTTAGTTTAAAAAAAAAGCACTCAGCTCAGTGAGATTTGATATTCAGCTGTCGATGATATATTTGGATTCAAGTCTGAGAATACTTACCGGGAGAGAAAGAAACGTGTTGAAAAAATCTGCAAAGATTTCATCCTCTAGCAGAATTATAAGATTTGTAGAACTGATTATCTCTATATAGGAGAAAAAAATAAAAACCTCATGAACCATTTTGCATTCAGGATGAAAAAATGAAGAGATTGAAGAGATCATCTCACACAACCGTTCTCAGCATGAGGCTGGCTTTTAGGGTCATCTAGCTCAATTTCATTCCCTCTCCAGGACTCTTCTCTACAATGTCACTCTGCTTAAAAACTTCCTTCATGGGAGATAACCCCCTCACAATGTTGCCCATCCCATTTAAGAAGAGATAAAATAGATAGGTTTTTCCTACTGTGAACTGTCTTCCTTCACCCTCTTCCCATTTGTAGCAATTCTGCCTCTGAAGTTTCACAGAATATATCTAACTTCTCTTAAATGGGACAGTGTTTTTAATATTTATAAAAACATCATAACCCTGTTCTGCTTGCCTCCAACTCCTCTCTGCTAGTCACTAAGCAATTCTTCAACCACTGCTCACATGGCCTCATACATCTAAAGCATTCCAAATGCTTTCCAGGTAGAACATACTAGAACAGTTGCATATGTGACATGTTATACCAGTGTTGCCTGAAATGGGAGCTTTCACATTACACTTTTGGATCCACCATCCTTCATTTATACATTCACTTTTCAGAAACTAAGGGCAGGGATTTACATTTATTCTAGTCTAACCTAAACTTGTTGGTTTGAACCTGTGATGGATAAGATTGTGTGTGAACTTGGCTGGGCCATGATTCTCAGTGTTTATATCTGATTACTCCCATGATGGGATCTGCTGTGAGTAGCCAATCAGTTGATTTGGAGTTTCCTTGGGGGTGTGGCCTGCATCTGAATATAAGCAGAAGTTCTGGCTTTTTGCTTGCTCTGGATCCTGCGGCTGCCTCCTGTTCATCTGACTTCCGGTTCTTGGGATTTGAGCTATCAGCTTATCTGCCAGTCTTGGGATTCGCTGATCTTCACAGCCTGTGAGCAGAGCTCTGCTCTCTGACCTGCCAATCTTGGGTTCACCAGCCCCTGCAGCTACGTGAATCAGGAGAAGCCTTGAGGTCTTGCCTGCCGGTCTTGGGATTTGTTGATATTCACAGCCTGTGAGCAAGAGCCCTGCTTCCCGACCTGCTGGTCTTGGGTTCGCCAGCCCTTGTGGCTATCTGAATCAGGAGAAGTCTCTATCCTAGTCCACGGACTTGGGACGTTCCAGTATCTACAATTGCACGAGCCGCTTCTTTGATATAAACCTCTCTCCGTATATATTTATATGCTTTACTGGTTTTGCTTCTTTCGAGAACCCAGCTTAAGACAGAACCCAACATTACACCCTGACAAGAGCTTTTCTAAATATTGATTTGGTCATACACCATAGTCACTATTTCTCTCAGGTTTGATCAGCATGTTGTCCAAGTTTATCCAAAAAGATAATTGTCAAATATCATAAGGTTAAGCATCGAGACCACAGGGACTAGGAGACCTCTCTCTCTAAATTTAATCCACTGCCTATGCTCTTAGAGCACAATGCTTAATAGTGAATAATAAGCTAATTGTTGTATCAATGACCCAGCATTTCTCCATCATACCCAAGTTTATAGTGAAAGACTATGAGAAACCTAAGTATCTGGTGAGAATAGTAAGTGCCACCCACAATCACTAGAGTGCAGTTATAATGACATAAAAATAGCTACACAATCCCCTCCATCACTTTTCCTGTTGACACTGGAGTGATTAATAGGTGCAGAAATAGAAACCCAATCAAACACTATTGTGAGTAACAGAGCTGGTGTCAGTTCTTGTCCTCTATTACACAGATATCTTTTGTCTTGCTGTCTAGTGCTGTAAATTTCTATGTGTGTTTTTCCTGCCTCCTTCTTCATCTCTCTGCTTCTGCTCTTCTTTTTATGAGTATTTTCTGATTTATTTAATCTATTGCACATGGATGAATCCAAAATCTGTATTTTCAGTGCAGACTTCTCTCATTGGCTCTAGTTCTAAACATTCTGTGAGCTATGGGACATCTCTACAGGGACATCCCTTAAACACTTTTATCTCAACGTGTCTAATAGTGATCTTATCATCTGCCTCACAACCTGCTCTTTTTCACATATTCCTAATCTCAGTTAATGCAAACACCACCTGTCCAAATGTCGAAACTATAAGCCTGAGAATCGTCTTTAATTCTTACCTCTCCTTTACCTCTCTCTCTCCCCACATGCAGTGGAGGGCCATGTTATGTGGTTTCTCCATCTACATATCTCTGGAATCTATCCTCTCCTCTTTGTCCATAAAGTCATTCCCTTATTTCAGGCCTCTATCCTCTGCTAGAGTCTCTGAGTGGTACAAACAGTTAATACACTTGGCTGCTAACCAAAAAGGAGGTTCAAGTCCACCCAGAGGCCCATTGGAAGAAAGGCCTGGTGATCTACTTCTGAAAAGTTAACCATTGAGAACCTTGTGGAGCACAGTTCTACTCGGGTACACATGGGATCACCATGAATTGCAGTCAACTCGATGGTCACTGGTTTTGGTTTTATCCTCTCTCACCTGGACTATCACATCAGTTTCTTAAATTGTCTCCTTATCTTCATTCTCCTCCCCTTCCAAGCAGTCTCCACACAGTGGTACCATAATCTGTTGATGCTATTATTGTTACAACCCTTCAAAGTCTCCTCATTGTCCTACAAGGAAAGTTCAAATTCCTTAGTGCAGTATATGAGGCCCCACCCAATCTAGATTTTGGATTCTCTCCCAGCCTCGTCTCCTACCACTCTACCTCCATGATGCCTCTGGTTTATCAGCCAAACCAAGACATTGCTATTTTCAGCACATGATACGCCTTCGCACCACAAACCTCTATGTCTTTGTTCCCATATTCTCATTGCCTGAAATGTCCTCTTCAGCTCCAGTCTGTTTCACAAATTATTAGTCTCCCATCAAGAACTGACTTACAGCAGCCATCTAAGATGCAACTATTGGTCTCTTCTCATCTGGAGCAAAAGAGAAAGAAGGAAACCAAAGACTCAAAGAAGAAACTAATCTACAAGACAAATAGTCTATATGAACCATGGCTTCATCCACCCTGCCAGAAGAAATAGGTGGCTTCTGGCTACTGCTACTGACAGTTCTAATCAGGGCCACAATAGATAGACCTTGATAGAATGAGAGAAAAATGTGGAACAGAATCTCAGATCTCTAAACAAACAAACAAACAAACAAAAAAACAGACCTACTGAAGTGGTTGAGACTAAAGGACTTCTTGAGTCTACTGCCCGGAGATACTGTTCAAACCTTGAACTGAAACTAACCCAAGGTCACCTTGTAGCTAAAAAACAAATTGGCTCAAAATATGATGAATATCATCTATAAATACTGTGCTCTTTTTAAAAAAGTTACATATATGAGACCAAACAGTCAACAATTACTTTAAAACAAAGATAAGAACATAAGAGGATAAGAAGACTAGATTAATGGAAGCAGAACAACCAGAACAGAAATATTGAGAATGTTCATGCATTGTGAAGAATGTAACCAATGTCACTGAACAAATTGTGTAGAAATTGTTGAATGTAAATCTAAACTGCTGTGTAAACCTTCACTGAAAACACAATATGATATTACTAAAAAATTAAAAAAAGAACCACCTTACATGTAATCTTGGTGAACTACCTCACAATGACAGAATCAGTCCACTATCATGTACATCTTCCATTATTACAATTAAAAATCATATTGTCCTGGGAGGTGGAGCCAACATGGGACTAGAGACAGAAGCACCACACTGTCCCTCCACAGCAAAGTCCAAAAAAAAAACTAAGTAAAACAGAGACAAACGTCAATCCTGGGACCCTAAGTGTCAAGTGAATAGATAAAGAACTCAAGCAAGCACCAAATGGAATAAGAAACTGGCAGAGAACAGAGAACAAGGAGAGATACGAGTGGAGGTCCCCTATTAGCTAATGCAGCACGGATTCACCATCTTGGACTCCTGTTGGAGAGCAGCTGATGGGAAGTATTGGAAAACAGACTCACAGAGCTCCCAGCAGGAGACAGAGCACCCGGTAACCAGCAATACAGGTTTTCCCACCCCCCCATCATTCCTCCCCCTGCTCAGCCTCCACCGCTTCCTGGTGGGCCAATACCACACTGGGAGGCTCCAGCTCCGTGCCATTCGGATTTGCCCCACCCCCACAGGCTGGCTCCATCAGCGCCATTTCTTTGTTGCTGGTATTGCTTTTTTTGGCTTCTTTTGGTTTCCTCCCTGCCTCTCGCCTCCTCCCCCTCCTTTCTCTGGAATGCCTGACTCCATGTGCCATCTTTGCTTCTTCTTGACAGGCTGTAAAGTGCTGCTTGGCTGAGAAATTGCTTCCCTGGACTGTGCCACCATGCTAAAGGATCCCTGGGGGCTTTTTTTTTTCTTTTTCTTTTTTGTTTTGTTTCCTCTTTCTTTTTTCCTTTTTATTTTTCTTCGTTTCTCGGTTTCTCATCTCTTTCTACTTACCTTTTTTTCCTGTCTCCTGAATACCTGGTGCTGTATGCCATCACAACCCCTTCTAGCCAGGCTGTACTGTGAGGCTTGGGAGCCACTTTCGAGGTCTGCACAGCCATGCCAGTGGGATCTCTGGGGACATTTTTAAAATTTTTATTTACTTATTTTACTTTCTGTTTTTCTTCATTACTCAGTTCGTTGTCTCTCCACTCCAATGGTAGTCTCCCTCAGCACTTTGTTTTTTTTTTTTTGGCTCCTGTTTCTCTCTCCTCTCTCTCTTCTTTCCCATACCCAACCTAGCTCCACCATGTGCTGGACATAGCACTCTCAAGCATCACAGGTACGGCCTACTGGAACCTGCCCTGAACTAAACACTGACTCACCTTGTGGGCCCCAGTACATGCCACAAACGACCCATCCCAGCTCCTCCTCTTCAGTTGGACTTGCCTTGCTGCACCATAGCTGAGCAACTGGCCGTGCCCATTGGACAAAGAGGTGAAAAATATCATGTCCACAGATAAGCAATCAACAAATAATGCACAGCATGCCTGCTCAGAC